AACCTAATTCCATGACAGTGTTTCCTTTCGGGTTTTACTTGAGCTCTGAGTTTTGGCTCTCAGCTTTTCCAGGGCCCTCTTCAAGCATGGTAACGTGGGACGGGAAGTTTCATGGCAGCACTGCTACAATAATAGTACGTAGCCACTGACAGGCATGCTGATAGCTTGTGTACAATATTATTGTATTTGAAATTTGTGCCCTAACATGCACAGCTCCCGGGTGAGGTGGATGAATTACAGCAGAGTCAAACTGGTCACCACATCACTAGGGTAAAGCTCCTTCCAGTCACTGCCTCTTGTAACTAACACGTACTTGGCTTCCCACAAAGGATCCACAGGCTTAGGATATTGACTACTGCTGTAAAAGATCAATCGCCGAAGGTTGTTCCTTTAGCTATACTCTACACCAGGTTTTGTTGAAGAGAAGGACCCTAGGGATGCTTTTTCAGTGGTGAGGGTGAATTTTGGGACCTCCTTCACAGCCAAATAAGAGTACATAGAAAGAATGACAGACCAGATAGATACTAGGGTTTTTATTCACAGCATCTTTAAGGTAGAAACTGCAAACTAGTAAATCACCTGTCACCTGTGACTAAGGAACACAGTAATCTTACCACTTCTGACGCTGAAGGAAGGTGACCAGGAGAACATGGATTTGTTTGGAATCATCTACAGGAACACGCAGTAAAAAGCACCCAAGTCTTGCCCAGCACCCTGGTTGCTGCTCTGTCCCTTTGCAGGAGAGAGGATGGACTCGACACAACCACCCTACCTTGAACAGCCCCAGCGCCAGGTTGCCAGTTGAACCAACCTGCTCCACCAACACCAGAGCACCAAATCTGCCCTTCTCAGCGTGGCCAGGGTGAGTGGGTCTTTGAAGAATGCAAATTGCCTGTATACCCATGTTGCTATGTAAGTTCTAGTGTGCTTAGGAAAAATGACAACAAGCTGCACAGTTAATCCCCCAAATGAAACAACCAAGACTGAAGTAGATAAAACTGAGGATGAGACAAACATAAAAGCGAGTTGTGGTCAGGGAGTAAGTTATCTGTGGTGTCAGGGCTATGACCTACATATATGAACCTGCAGGATGTAAAAGAAATATGCAAAAAAATGAGTTTTTGCAGGCAGTGGCTGGTGAAGACTTTGCACACAGCACTATTGAGGGCCAAAGATGAAGGAACAGGAAGAAAGCAGGAGAAATACGCAGAGTATTTACTTAAAGGCATCTCATCTCTACAAGTGTGTCTGTCCCAAGCACAGGAAACTTGAAAGTATGCAGTAAGGTCCATGAGACCATGAGAAAAGACAAATCTAAATTGGTGGCTTGCTGCACCCATAAAGCAGGAGGAAACCTAAACTATTTGGAATGAAGTCATCAGCAATAACAAGTACATTTTGGGATGCACGGATTTTGCAAGCATATAAAATTACATATCTTACTGACTACAGCATACATTGTCAGATATTGTTTTCCGTTGCTTCAAGAAAAGGAAAATGAAAACAAGCACAAAATTACCCTGTCACCTTGTAAAGGCCTGATGGTTTTCACAAGGCATAGTCCAGCACAGAATGCACTCACTTCTAAACTAACGAATTAAGAGTTTCAGGGCTTTTGTTTGTTATGTCCCAACATAGGAGGATTTATTACTATATATGGGTGTGTAGGGAAGAGATTGCAACTGTCATTTTGAGCAAAAACAAGTGGAGCAAAGATAGGCATGACTGATTGTTCCAACAAACATCGGACAGTTTTGCAACGCGCATGCAAGTCTGAACTCTTTCCAGTTTTCAACTAGCAGTATAAAGCTAGTTCACACAAAGGCTTTGATTTTTAGTTCTGAAAGAATTGCTTCTTTTTTACATCACTGTTAAATAATTGAAGGAGGTCCAGTGGGAGAAGAAAGGTCAGAGAGGACTTTTCTTAATGAATCAAAATTACAAATATTTTATTGGTAATTTAGTTGGTTTACACTGTGCGAAACACAGAAGTTACTATTTTAAGTGACCACAGACAATGAAATATAGAATTATTTTACATAGCTATACAGAACAATTTAAAAAGACTTTTTAACATTTTCATTTCAGTACATACAACATTTTTTTGCTAAGTCAACTGTGTCTCAGTTAAAGGACATTCTGGGACAGTGAAATACAAAAAACTCACAGTAGATGCTCCATACGCATTGAATTTTGCATTTTATTCTCTGAGGTGCAGTACCAGTGTTATCAGTTCAGTCCACCCAGTCTGAAAATCCTGCTAAATTCTCAGAGTATTGTGTGTAGACACAATCCAGAGCAGCTGAGGAAGTTAAATCTATTATCTTAAGGCCAAAATTCAGAGATGTCCTGTCATTTCTGTTGTTTTTTTTTTCTTTCCATCTTGAGCCATTCTGTGTTAACTTCTCATTCCACTGGGGCCGATGATACTTGCTTTATGTCAAAGCTCCTGAGCAAGGTGCACCACACTCCTCTGCAAGATGCATGTTCCTCTCTGCAGTTGTTCCGGTCTGCGCAACCCTCTCTTTGAGGCTGAACTAGGTAGCCTTAGACAGGCTGTTTACTGCAGAGCTTTTATTTTTTACTTTCTAACCTTTCTAGATAACTCCCTTGCCAAAATAAGAAAAATCCTGTATTTCTTCAAGACAACAAACTTCACGTACGTGTTTTTAAAAAGCTCATGTTGTGCCCAAATTGTGCTCTAGCTGAAGTGAGTGGTTAAACATTCACTGACTTCAGTGGATTCAGGAATAAACCTGTACTGAGGGCTTTTGGGAAGGCCTGTATTCAGTAAGAGAGACTCAAATCTAGCTGGAACATAGGCACATTTGAGATCTCCTGTATAATCTTCTAAGTGTATGACAGCATATTTTAAAATTTTAGTGTAGGAAACTTTTATTATAGGAGAGCTTCAGTAAAACTACTGCTTTGAAAAATATTGGGAAAAAAAAAAAAAAAAAAAGGTAAAGAGTGTGCTAATAAGTATATTACTCCTGAAAAGTAGGCAGTATATATGCACTTTGTCTGCAAAACCTAAATGTCTGACTTAGGAGGACTTAACAGGGAATTTGTTCACGTAAAACAAAAATATGTTACACGTTGCCAATACAACAGCTATATTTTAAATAAAAATAACAATAATATACCTGTACAATATTGTAATGATATAACTTGATAAAAATAATACTGACCAGTATCAAACTTAGGATTTAATTGATTATCCATTCTTAGCAGATGAAATACATTTCACAGAAACACCTGCGGGCAAGGTGGAGTGGAGTGATATTCATGGCTTACCATGAGAGAGTTCTTGTGCAAACAACGATTAATAATTTTTATGGTCAAAATAGCCAAGTATTACCTTTCAAGATAGAAGGAATTAACTTCATTTAAAATTCTAACCTTCTACCTAACAATTTAGGGCCTGGCAAAGGAAAGCATTATGAGTTATTTTCCTTTCCTTTTAAAAGTTTAAGGAACAAAACTTTAAATTTATGAAAGTTTATGATTTGAGCAGTTGGGTGCATGTGCTACAGACAGATGCTAACAGCAGCTCAGGAAGGTAGGAAACAAACAGACATGCTTACACACACAGGTGCACATGCTCCGGTGCAAGGTCCTCAGCTTGTCTACACAGACACAGAGCTACCAGCTCTTGTCGGGGCGACACCAGGAATGGGCTTCACCTTACCTGTTTTTAGGTGTCTACAAGGCGTGCTGTAGATACCTAAAGTCAGGTGAGATTATCCTCATCCCAGGTAACACCAGCTGAAGGTTTTATGAAAACTGTTTTCATCATCCTGAGCATAGTTAAGGCACTTTATTAAAAAAAAAAACAAAAAAAAACAAAAAAAAAACAAATCTGAAGTTAATCAAAGCTGATAAAGGTCAAAATCCTTAGACGTGAAATTTGGAAAAAAAAAAATCCTGAGTTTTGATAAATATTTCTATTATAATATGATATCATGCCTATTGAAAACATTGTTTTTAAAAAAAGCATGTTATATGGTATTTTTTTTCTTGAAAATCTCATCCCTTTGTGCACTAAATATGTTAAAAAGTCGTTGGGGACAACTGCAACAGATTAGTAGGAAATGAAAAAGGCAAAGAATGACCTGTCATGTATGTACAAAATGTGAATTGCTCCTGGCAATAAGCATCACTTTACTACAGGCATCTTTATCTTTCTGTTTTCTTACAGGGTCCTGCCCATATTTTAATACTTTATAATTTATTATGCTTCACTAAACTATTTACAGAAGCAGAAAATAATCACATACCTTCTGAAATCCATAACTATGGAACTACAGAAGTAAAGCGTATCTTAAAATACTATCAAGACTAGTGTGCTACATAGTACTGTTTTTTGAAGTACAGTCTGTGAATTATTTTCTCTATGAAGATTAAAATCAAAAAGCAATATGAACTTTGAATTCATTGTCTCCCTCTGTTTTGCTTTGTTACATTTTGCACTATTTGCTGTTTCTAAAGGATTTAGCTCCAATAGTACTGGGATCACAACAGCTATTTGTTGCAAAAGAGTCTTGACTAAACAGCCATCAGGTTCTCTCTCAAATGTCCACAGTCAACAAGGGACAATCAATTTGTTTTCAGTTAAAAATAGCTAGTTTCCAATACTAGCCACTGTTTCTGCTGTTCTATGATAATACATATTTGCTTCTAGTGTTTTTCTCTCCTGTGCTGTCATATGAAACACAAATAACAGGAAGACAGAGAAATACTGATCGTATCCAAAGTGCAGTCAAATGCACTGAACAGGCACACTGGTGACAGAACAGTATTTATAGAGGTCTTGGAAGTTCCTTGTAAAAACAGTAAGTAAAAACAATCGAAGTGAAATGCACTTTCAACTTGACTACAGCCTTTAATAATTTTATTAGCTACCTCTATAATACCTCCAGTAAAAAATCCACCTTTTTTTTTTTACACTTAAACCAGCATTACAAAATATTTCATGTTTTATTCTTTTTAAAAAAAACAATAGTGATGATGGTTAATTTGCTTTATAAAAGATAATGTGTGGAGTTATATATAATACTGGCATTGATCCAATGAAAGTTATATTATGCTGCTTAGTAATTACTGTGACTCCAGTTCCTACAACTGTTATAGTGAATACAAATGCTTGTTTAATATAAAGGAAGTGGGGATCATTTGGAAGTGCTGATTCAGAAGTATTCAAGTGCTAACAATGACTTGTTATTTCTATGCTTTTCTTCACCTTCTATACAGGATCATTTCACAAATGTCCATGATCTTGAAAGTTACTCAGATTTTGTGCAATTACTTCTCATGATTTTCTTTTCTTCGTGCAAACACAAAACTTGCTTTTTCTAAAGGTTCTTCTCTCTTAGCCAAAGTACTTGCCACTCTTACTCAGAAAGGCACCAGCATTCATTTTAAAGAATATACCTCTTACGTCTCTTTTATGAAGAGCTGTACTTGTTACTGGAGCGGAAATTATCATATCCGTGATCATTAGCTTTGAACTTTAAACAGGACTGCCTTTCCTCCAGGGACAACAGATCTTTGGATTGGCACCAGCAACACAAACATGACTGTTAAAATAAAAGGAATAAACATTTGACATCATTTTGTTTTGTCAGTGTAGCAAAATGCATTGAAACACTGTCCCAATGCAGTGGTACAGAAGGAAATGGAAAGTGGTTAAGCAACCATTTTGGTGTTAAAGTATAAGCAAAGAAATATTGCTAAGCCAAAATGACAACTAGCTAATTACTGAGACATCCCATTAAAAATCTGAGATTGAACAGCAGGAAGAATAACATTCTGGAAACAGGCACATCACTGAATCTGAACTGAAATTCCAGAGGCACCTCAAAATAGACTCCTCCTTGTCCCATAATCTTTCTTGGTAAACATGTATGCACAGTAACCTAAACTTCCTGAGATGCTGCTATGTAGTTGATTTTTAAGGGGGGAACCGAATAAGAGAATGACAAAGAAAAAACACAGTTGAAAAAACTCCTGGATGTCCTGTAGCCCCTTTGCTGATGCTGTTGACTGCTCTTTGGGTGCTCTCAACTACAGTAGCTCAAGGACTCAGTCAGGTAGACAGGGAAGGTAAGACAGTAACTAAAGCCTCTATAAAATGTCCTGCCTTAAGGATGTAGCTGGTAAAGGATTTGGACATCCAGGTGACAGGTCTTGCAGTGCCCAACTGTTAAATATTTGGCACCAAAAGAGAAAAAAGAGAAAAGTTGGGGTTAAGCAAAATAAGAATCCTGATAAAGGGCTTGAACAAGGGGACTCTGGATTGCTCTAAAACAATCACACCCTGGTGTTGCTGAGTATCAAATCTGAACATTTTCCAAACAGAATGGATAAGAGTTGGATGACTAGAAGCCTCAAGGTGAAAGATGCTAGATTTGGGCTGCAATCCACATGGGATCCAGAGCCTCACATCCTCAGCAGAGAATCAGTGGCTAAGATTCTTCTTTCAAACTGAGGCAAAATATGAAAAAGCCCATCTTATTTTTAAATGGAACTACTGGAAAGGGCCAAGTGAATACTGATGCCCTCTTTGTTACAAGTGCTCCCCCAGGATGCATGGAATCTGTGGTCAGTGTCCTCTGTGCTGGGTTACAGAGGATATGTCTACGTGAAACGCTGCAGAGAGCCTGACTCTGCTTGGTCAGTGCTTTCGAGGTGGCTGTTTGCCAGCTCCAGTCAGGAAGTGATGCAGCCGGATTATCATGGTGCTGAGAGGGTTTGTTATATAGTCTTTTCTTTTGCTTTCTCTTTTTGACCCCATGAAGCTTTAATTTCTTTCTAGGTAGCTTCAGTGGGAGAGGGAAAGAACACCCATCATAACCCAATTAAAAATTAAAGTAACATTAATTAACATTACTTTGTGCGTGTTAGGGAATTAATTTGACTGCTGATATCATGTTTAAACCAAAGGAGCAGCTGCACAGAGTCTCTTACCTTAAAGCAGTTTTGGAATCTTTTGCTCACCAAATACAGAGCTATTGGATTGATGCAGGAATTCAGTGAAGCCATGTTAATACCAATGTAGTCCATCACAAGAAAAAAGCTGTGGGGAAATTAAAGGAAGTGAGACGCTTCTCTCTCTCTTTTTTTTGTTTCGTGAAAAGTTTTGGTAGAGCTTGACTACATAAAAATTGGATTCCACTTTACTCACCAAGACAATTAAATATAATTACAGGAAGGGGACTTGCATGACTAGGACGAGCTCACAGAGGTAATAACTACGCTTAATAATAAAGTCTGAACCTTTAGTGTATTCTCATGAAAGTAATTAAAGAAGATCCAACCATCTTAAGTTTTGGAAGGAAATATTTATTATTTTTTCTTCAATTCAATCCTAACTTTTTTGTGGAAAGCAAAAATGGGGACATAGTGTAGTCAAGTAACAAGGCAGGAGGGCAGATCCAGAAAGGATCATGAGGAAGACAGGATCATGAGGAAGACAGACAGGACAAACGGCACAGAAGCCCTGTGTTCGTGAAATTCCCTGTAATTTCCTGACTCTGCAATTTGAGTAAAACCAGAGCACACGGATGAAAAAGCAGAGAGATCTTCAGACACACAGAATAAATTAGCTCACTGGCAAATCCGAATATGCTTAAACAGAGTAAACGAAAATAGCAGTAGATGGGAATTTTGCAGTCTCACCTTAAAAGTTCACATCTATTGGGATCTTTCTGATCATAAATAGTGAGCTTCAATATTCTGCTTAAATGAAGTGGCAGCCAACACAAGGCAAAAACAAGCACCAGACAGAACACAGTTTTGGCCACCTCACGTCTCTGAAAACAAAATTGGAAAGAATAGTTTGCAGTTTCTGTCTTACATTCCACTGCTATTATCTTCTAATATCAAAATATTTGATAAGCAAAAATATAGCTCTCAAAATAAGAGTTAGGAGAACATCTGAATGTCTTATTTTCTTGGAATAATGCACTTAACATTGAGATCTCTTCTATTGTTTTAGAACCAAGTCTCAGAATCTCCAGTTCAAAAAAATATGAACTGTAGTACGAAAAAAAAAATCAAGGACAAACAAACATGCAAATTAAAATGACAAAGAATAAATTATTCTGCCCAACCACTTTCAAATGCCAGCTTGTTTTGAACTATGTTTTGTGCTTTGATTTCAGGTCTAAATTTAAATGCCATAATGAGGACTATGAGAGAAGAGGACTGTGCTTGTTTACACTAATGACGCTGCAAATTATCATGCAAACTATAAAGCTACTAAAAAGGATAATACAAATGCACTTTATCATACAAATGCAGTTGAATTCAAGTTACTTATGGTAATTCTGTTTGGTCCAAGTTTTGCTACTGTCAAAGTCTTAGATTTCTGAAGGAAACTTGAGAAATACGAATACTCTGATATATACGAGCTCAGCAGTACCTCTAAACTTTTCCTTCATAGGAACCTCAAATTGTCATTTAAGAACAGAATAACGATGCGGCATGTAAGTTAATACACTTGTTATTGTCAGTCTCTCTGTAATCACCAGATGTAAGTAATAATTTCTTACCTGTTTCAAGTGGTCATTCAAAGCTATCTGCATCCCACTTTTCTTCCTCAACATCTCACAAGTCATCAGAGTATAGAAAAATGCTGTGATGGCCAACGGCAGACAGAAATAAAAGCTGAACAGCCACCAGTCTTTAGCCTGCTTGTAAAACTAGAAGGAAAAAGAAAAGCATTTCTCAGGAGTTGAATGTTGAGCATTTTGAAAATCTAATCTAATTGGTCAGCCTGTGGTCAAAAACTTCTCCGTTAAGAAGTATATTACAGATGGCAGCAGTGGGACCATGTGACCATGAGGCAGCAGTGTGACCTCGTGGCCAAGAAGGCCAATGGGATCCTGGGGTGCATTAAGAAGAGCG